CGGCAATTAAACAATACACAACATTGACATTCATTTTTTACAGGTCGGTTAATTAACACACCTCTACTGAAAACGCACTGTCGCACAGTTTTTCACCCCTAGCGTTAATTAACTCACCTCTCAGACAATTTTTCACCCTTGTTAATTAACACACCTTATTTACAGTTTTAACGCGGTAATACTGAGTAATAGTCGGAAAATTAATCGATACACGTCGTACAAATAACAACGATGATTGAGAATTATAGGGTGGCTGTGCACAGATTCACCCTTTAGCAGTTCTCAGTGATAGGGTCCACAACCTTGGTATACCATATTTTTACGCTATTTGAGAACGAAGGGCGCCATTTTGTCTGTCAGTTTTGGGCCGATTTTCACGAAATTCGAACTCAGTCTACCTTAGGGTGATACTGTGATATAATAATATGTTTTTTTAAATCGGATAAAAATTATGACCTCTATAGGGTCCACAAGCTAAAAACGCGATTTTTCATAAAATTAGGGGCCATAATTCAGGAAGTTACAGTCCGATATGCGCCAATATTGAAAGGAACCAAGATCTTTGGGTTATAAACTTACATTTCAAGTTTCAACAAAATCGGATAACCAGCGGCTGCCAGTCAGGATACGCCCACATTTTCGAAAGATGGATAGAGAACAAGCTAAGAAGAAAGTGATTTTTCCTACAAGCAAGGGTCATAATTCAGGAAATTACAATTCGATATGCGCAAATATCGAAAGGAACCGAGATCGTGTTATTATAAACTTACATTACAAGTTTCAACAAAATTGTGACTTCTATAGGGTCCACAACCTTGATTACCCTATTTTTACACTATTTGAGAGCGAAGGGCGGCCATTTTATCTGTCAGTTTTGGGCCGATTTTCACGAAATTCGAACTCAATCATCCTTAGGGTGTAACTTTGATATAATAATACGTTTTTTTTAAATCGGATAAAAATTATGACCTCTATAAGGTCCACAATCAGGGGCCATAATTCAGGAAGTTACAGTCCGATATGCACGAATATCGAAAGGAACCAAGATCTTTGGGTTATAAACTTACATTTCAAGTTTCAACAAAATCGGATTAAAATTGTGACCTCCATAGGGTCCACAACCTTGATATACCATATTTTTACGCTATTTGAGAACGAAGGCGGCCATTTTGTCTGTCAGTTTTGGGCCGATTTTCACGAAATTAAAACTCAGCCGTCCTTAGAGTGTAACGGTGATATAATGATATGTTTTTTTTAAATTGGATAAAAATTATTACCTCTATAGGGTCCACAAGCTAAAAACGTGATTTTTTGTACAATCAGGGGCCATAATTCTGGAAGTTACTGTCCGATATGCGCGAATATCGAAAGGAACCAAGATCTTTGGGTTATAAACTTACATTTCAAGTTTCAACAAAATCGGGTAAAAATTGTGACCTCTATAGGGTCCACAACCTTGATATACCATATTTTTACGCTATTTGAGAACGAACGGCGGCCATTTTGTCTGTCAATTTTGGGCCGATTTTCACGAAATTCGAACTCAACTGTCCTTAGGGTGTAAAAGTGATATAATAATACGTTTTTTTAAATCGGATAAAAATTATGACCTCTATAGAGTCCACAAGCTAAAAACGTGATTTTTCGTACAATCAGGGGCCATAATTCAAGAAGTTACGTTCCGATATACGCGAATATCAAATGATATAATGATATGTTTTTTTTAAATTGGATAACCAGCGGCTGACAGGCAGAATACGCCCACATTTTCGAGAGATGGATAGAGAACAAGCTAAAAAGAAAGTGATTTTTCCTACAATCAACGGCCATAATTCAGGAAATTACAATTTGATATTTTTAGGAAGTTACGGTCCGATATGCGAGAATATCGAAAGGAACCAAGATCTTTGGGTTATAAACTTACATTTCAAGTTTCAACAAAATCAGATAAAAATTGTGACCTCTATAGGGTCCACAACCTTGATATACCATATTTTTACGCAATTTGAGAACGAAGGGCGGCCATTTTGTCTGTCAATTTTAGGCCGATTTTCACGAAATTCGAACTCAGTCGTCCTTATGGTGTAACGGTGATATAATAAGACAGTTTTTTAAATCGGATAAAAATTATGACCTCTATAGGGTCCACAAGCTAAAAACACGATTTTTCGTACAATCAGGGGCCATAATTCAGGAAATTACAATTCGATATGCGCAAATATCGAAAGGAACTGAGATCGTTTGGGGATAAACCTATATTTCAAGTTTCGTCAAAATCGGATAAGAATTGTGACCTGTAGAGAGTCCACAAACAATTGTGGACGGACGGACGTCCGTCCAGACGTCCAGACTGACAGGGGCCATGGCATAATACGTCCACATGAAAATGTGGGCGTATAAAAATACTAGTCTCTTGAAAACTAGGAGGGTCTGGGTGACCGAGACTAAAAAAAAAATATGCGAGAAATAAAGGAATACCGATCATCAAATCGCGTTATACCTATTTGCTGCACTTCTCCGTTTTTGGAGAATCACAGACACCACGAAAAACTGTCAAAGTGGAAATTTGAAATGTTCAAATATCATCAATTCGACCCTCTGACACAGGCTATCCAGAAATGTCGGAAAAAAATTTACAAAGTTACAAGTCTAAATATAGTGAAAATCATTGCAACCGGACAAAAAAAAAATCTGAAAACTAAAGGGAAATAACTGAAACTTGTATTGCTGTAATAGGAATGACTTCCCGTTCCAGAAGTTCCAGAAAAATGGATCAAGCTGTTTAAAAACAGATGGATGAGAAAATGAAATGAAAATGCTGGGAAAGAACTAAAAAAAAAGTCAGGAAAATATCAGATTGACCTCAGCTGTTCGAATATTTAGGTTAAATTTGTAGATTTTGAAAATTAAAGACATAAATTGTCCTGTAAACAACTTTGTCGGCATGTAAAACGTCAAAGGAGAAATTCAAAATTTTGAAAATTTCAAACACCCAAAATTTGACCCTGATCCCGGCTAGCCTCAAATGTATTAATTTCAGAAATAGGAGACGCAATGAACATGCTATGGCCTATTTTGTTTATTTTCACGTCCGTGAATGTGGATTTTTTACTGTTTTTCATATTCAATTCCAAATGGTGACCATCAGTTGACCGAAATCAAAATTCTGTTCTGAACGTTTTTTAGGCATTCCTTCAAGTATTCAGAAAGTGTAACTCCCATATCTGTAAGCAAAATATAGAAAAAGTCTTAGGGATTTTTCACATTTGAAGATGTTAGCACTTCTAGTTCGATCGATGGACTGCATATTTTGTGTAGGCATCAGTAATGTCACAGCTAGTACAGAAAAAAAAATTTCAAGGCAATCTGACCTATATTTTGTCGATCTTTTTGAAAACTTTGATCCTTATTTTTTTCCATGGGGAGATAACTTGACATCGTTGAAGTTGGATCAACCAGATCTACTTACATTCCTAAATTCATGAAAATTGTACTAATATTCAAGAAGTTGTTATGTTTGTTTTACTTCCAGGATGAGATTTCAATGACAATATTCGAATTTCAAAAATCGGAAATAGCAGATTTAAAGTAAATGTTTTAAGGTACTCATAGAAAAAAAATTGGTAAAATAGATCAAAAAGTCACAAAGTTACAGCTATGTAGGTCAATTTTTCATCAGTAAATTTCGGTGATTTTGGATTCGTAAAACGTTTTGAAAATTTATTGATTCCAAAGCCACCGCCCATTCTTGGAATGAGGCTAACCAGAAATGTATTAATTTCCTAAATATGAGACGAAATCACGAAACCGCCAACAACTTTGTAGGCACGGAAAACGTCAAAGGCGAAATTCGAAATTTTGAAATATTCAAATACCACAAATTCGACCATGAGCCAGACTATCCCGAAATGTATTAATTCCAGAAATAAAAAAAGAATTCAACAAACTACGGTCTATTCTGTTTATTTACAAGCCCGTTAATGTCGATTTTTCACTATTTTTCATATTCAAGTCAAAATGGTGACTATCAGTTGACCTAAATCAAAATTCTGCTCTGAATGTTTTTTAGGCATTCCTTCAAGGATTGAGAAAATATAACTTCTGTGTCTGTAAGTAAGATATCAAAAAAGCCTTAGGGATATTTCACATTTCAAGATGGTGGCACTTCCGGATTGAGATACAGACTCCATTTTTTGTGTACGAATCAGTAGTGTCGTAGCTAGTACAGAAAAAATAATTCAAGATGATCTGACCTATATTTCGTCGATTTTTTTGAAAACTTTGATCCTTAATTTCTCCAAGGGGAGATAAGTTAGAAAATTTCTAATGACATCTTTCAAGTTGCATCGGTATGATCTACTTACAATCCAAATTTCATGAAAATCGTGCAATTATTAAAGAAGTTGTTAAATTGGTCTTAACTTCCGGAATGGAATCACAGCGACGAATTTTCGAAATTCGAAAATATGAAATTGCAGTTGAAAATGACTTTCTTCAAGGTACTCAAAGAAAAAAGAATTAGTAAAATAGGTCATTAGTTTTTTCGTTCGTAAAATTCGGTGATTTCGTATTCTTAAAACGTTTTGAAAATATATTTAAACAATACCCACCATCCATTTTTTTTTTTGGGGGGGGGGGAGGTAAGTCAAAGTTTCAGAAAGATCCTATGGTTAGATTCTGAGAAATCCGATTTGCAGAAAACACACACAAAAAAAAATAAATAATAATCTTAACAAAAGCAATATGAAATATGAAAGCTTAATAATTATCAAACTTAGTCAAGGTATTGATGTAATAAAACTATACACCAAATTTCATCACTCTCACTTAATTAGAACTAAAGTTATCGTGTCCCAAAGCATCATCAAATCAAATTGCTTATCTCTGCTTACCCTAAGCAGAGAATGCTCATCTTCGAACTCCATCAAGGCATTGACCTAATAAACACATACACCAAGTTTGAACATTCTAGCTCAATTAGAAAGAGAGTTATTGTGTACCAAAAAGTGTGACGGACAGACAAACTGACGAACCCATTATAATAGTCCCCTGCTTTCTTCGAAAGGCAGGGAACAATAAAAATAGAATACCCATTGTTTATTCAAAGTTGCATGGGTACAGCCCCAATTTTTGCCCCAGGGTTGCCCTTGTGTAGCCACCTACCCCCAAAAGATAAACGACAGTCATAAATATATAGTTATTATGTGTTCAGTGTAGTACTGAAAAAAATTCAGACGGGATGTTTTATCTCTTTTTATTATTCAATAAACTACAATATGGCATACAGGGTCATCTCCACTATATTGTGAAGACTGGACGACCCTGTGAGTATTATTTTAAAACCTTAGTGCAGATACGGATTCCATTTTTAGCTCACACTCAACTCTAGAAAGAAAATGAAGTGATGATAAGACATAGAATATTTGTTAATATTATTAATAACCTTTGATATTATATTGATAAATTTTGCTTACAATTTAGGTAATTGTTGATAACTTCCAGAGTATGCTTCATATCTAAACTTTATAGTATGACAATTATCTGTGTATGTTTTCATACATTCTCGTACCATCAAGCTTGCTGCTGATCCTTCTTTCATTGCCGATTTAGGCACTGTAGATTTAACTGTACGAATCTTTTTACTGGGGTTTGGCAGCTGCAAAAATTGTAAATCAAGAGTGCTAATTAAAATCAGTTTTAATAGAAGCTTTGTTTATTTTTTGATTCAACACAGAATTGGTTCTGAGGTTTAACGTTAATATAATATAATTCGCAAACATGCATAGTCAGGAAATGGAATATGTGTCAACCAGCAGACAGAAAAGTTACTCAAGTTGAATTTCAGAAATACCTCTACTGCTGTCAACTAAGGATGTAACGGTTCAAAAATTCTTGAACCGGTTAACTGGTCGTTAAAACCCCAACCGTAACCGGTTAACCCATAAAAAAATTTCTATCAAAATAAGACTTGATAATATATTTTTAAATTATTAGTATTACAGCTTTTAAGTTAACAGTCAGTACAAATTCCATTCATTCATTCTTGATGTTTCATTTCTCCATCTTAATTTGCACGCTGACAGGTCACGTAATGTGAGGTATAGACCAGTGGCAGTTGAATTAAAATCATGTTGATTTTTTGATTTTTTTTAAAAAAAAGCTTCAATAATACTTCATAAGATTAATTATGAAATCAATATTTGAAAGCATACCTTTGGATTTTTAAATACAAAATAAGTTTGATTATTCAACATCATCTAATTCCAAAGAATTTACTGCATGTGTTGCTATCACAAGCCATGCTGTATCGTATGGTAACAGTGACCCGTATGTCAACTTTGACCCCACAGCATTGCGCACTCGAGTGATAATATAAACAATTTTACTATTCTTTTTAAATATAATTTCATCACATCATACTTGTTTCCTTTTGAGACTTTGTTTATGGAGTGATGAGGTTAATACTGTAAAGCAATTAATCTGTCAATAATGTATACAAATGTCAAAACTTCGAGCGGGGGGGGGGGGGGGAATTTAGAATCATTAACTTCTCGAGACTTATTACAAATGACAAGTGCTATTTGAAATATTTATGTGGCTATCATTCCTGTGTTTGAAAGTCAGGTATCATATGAAAACGAAGACCGATTAGTAATTTTTTGAACCGGTTCAACAGTGCAACCGAACCATGACCGGTTAACCGAGTGACCATTTTTTTTTTTGTAAACAGTATTTTATTTCATTTTACATCCTTACTGTCAACCCATGTACCCTTGCTTATACATGTATAACACATGGGGAGAGAGAGAGAGAGAGAGAGAGAGAGAGAGACAAATGGGGTTTAACGCCACTCGAAACAAACTAGGTCATTTCGGGACTAACATATGGTTTAATGTTTTATTTCAATAATTCGCTTGCCCGTAGGGGTCTTTAGCAGTGGGAGGACCCGGAGAAAACCCACAAGGTTGGACAGGCGACCCTACTCCTTGTCACGTACAACCGGGGAATCGAAACCACGCCAGTTGACTCAAGGACAGACTTTATGATACAGCGTGCACACGCTAACCATTCAGCCATCCACCCCCCACCATGGGGACAGACCATTATTTAAATCAGACGCTTTGACAAGGTTGAAAAGTTGAAAATCTTGTAAACAAAACAGGGGTATGTTATCAAATATCGCATTAAAGATACATTATGTGAGATTTAGATAAAGAGCTAGCCGTTCTTGCTTTAGTACAGTAGTTTAAAACTAGATAATGCAAAATGAATATATTAAAAATTTCATTGAAAATATATGTACTTTATTCTGAGCCAAGTTATCACTTTTTGAAGTTTTGACAACATGTGGCATAACAGTGCTTGTTATTCAAGACTTAGCCTTGCTTCACCATTTTTAAATTAAATCATTAAATGGCCACAGCATTCTAATCTGCTTAAAATCAGAGCCATCAGATGCCCAGAGAGTTGATATGGATTTTTCATGTTAGTATCAGGAAGTGATGTCATAGATGAAAATAGACCAAAATTAGACATCAATCAATTTAAATGCTGTTTTCACCAATTGGTAGGTGTTCATTTTACCATGCATGCGAATGACGTTAATTTGAAGCTTAAAATTGAAAACAGTGACATTTCTGAGAGTAACTTTTTTTCTATTTGAAGTTTTCAAGCTGACTTTCAGAATCCGTTATAAAGGGGTGGATTAAACCAAAAATGTCAACAAAAATTTTCCGATTATATCCCTTCTGAAAACAAGGTCAGACTTTCAACTTCTTTAATATTGCTTTGTTTAAAAATCTTTGTTAATAGAAGTTGTCTATCCCCTATTTAGAGTAATATCAACAAATTAAAATTCACCGGAAGTGCAACCATTTTGAAAACGTATGTTTATTTTTAAAAACTATCTCCTCCCACAATTTTTATCCGATTTTCAATATATTTATATTTTTGGAAACCATCCACTACTCTCCATCAATTGCCGGAATTATAATTTTGATATTTGGCCTAAATATTTTTGCGGAATTATAATTTGGATATTTGGCCTAGATATTTTTTTAAAGTTATGTCATAAAATGGAATTTTTTTCAAAGTATGTCAATTTTTGAAATCAGGTAAAATGTTGATGTTAAGAGTCATTCCACGAGAAAACCATGCAATATAATGCATATGTCCAAAGGTGGGGGTCGAGCCTACTCCCCAGCCAAAATCGCTGATTTCAGAAATTAACCGTTTCCGAGATACGGGCCGTTTACGTTTTTCGGCTGATTTTTGCTATTTTTGTCGCACTACTACAGCTGTTACGTTATTGTAGGTGTCATGAGACTACACAAGGTACGGCTCTGCGATACCTGAAATGTACCCTACATTGTATCTTCAGATCGCGATAACTCAACTGGAGCAGGGTTTGCGATATACATCAAAATCAATTTATTTGCAGCTTGACCAGTTCTAACATAAGAAATAATATCATTGTCAGCTAATTTGCAACAGTATGAAAATTTGTGTTGAGAGTTACCCAAAACTTCAGTTTTGATTGGGATACATTGGTGGATTATTCAGGTAGGCTACCTAATCACGTAAATTGTTGTTCAAAGGGTCCATATATCAACTCAGGCTTCCCTTCAACCCACTTTGCCAAGATATTCAGTCTTGGTGTGGTTTGGTATCCAGTCTACAAATCCAAGAAGGCATCTCCCAGTGAATATGGATTTTCGCTAATTCTCGATCTAAAATGTTGATCCTGATTATTTGAATTTTTTTTCTTATGCAAAATGCGATATTCCAATCCAAAATTTTGGAAAAACTGTCGAGTTAGAGCAGATGTAAGTCGACAATTATGCAAATCAGACCTAATTTCCATGAATATCGCCTGTTTGACCTTGACCTTCAATCGTGAGGTCATCAGGGATAAAATCTGAAGTTCACACGTTGCTCTATCGGCAAACCATATCTGATTCGAAAATATTGAAAAACAAATGAGTTAGGGGTGGGATTTCAATTTTTTTCTTTGTTATCACTGAGAACTGCTAAAGGGTGAATCTGTGCACAGCCACCATAGAATTCTCAGTCATTTGTACGTGTATCGAAAGAAAAATAATTTTCCGACTATTATTCGGTATTACCGCGTTAAAACTGTAAATAAGGTGTGTTAATTAACAAGGGTGAAAAACTGTCTGAGAGGTGAGTTAATTAACGCTAGGGTTGAATAACTGTGCGACAGTGCGTTTTCAGTAGATGTGTGTTAATTAACTGACCGGTAAAAAATGAATGTCAATGTTGTATATTGTTTAATTGGCGTGTTTTCTCGCTAGTTGCGATAACTGCATCAAAAGGGGAGAGAGAGAGAGTGAAATGGGGTTAACGTCCACTCGACACAAACTAGGTCATTTCGGGACTAATAAATGGTTCAATTTTATTTCTATAATTCGCTTGTGCGTAGGGGTCGTTAGCAGTGGGAGGAAACCGGAGGACCCGGAGAAAACCCATGAGGTTGGACAGGCAACGCTACTCCTTGTCACGTACAACCGGGGATTTGAAACCACGTCAGTTGACTCAATGACAGACCTTATGACACAGCACGCACATGCTAACCATTCGGCCACCCAATCCCCTGCATCAAAAGGAGTATAATCAAGGACCAACAGGCTTTATCTGACACATACGTGTTAAATCAAAATTTGGGAAGTAAAACTGTTTTACCGTGCGATTTATCATTCGACTAGGTGTTTTACGCAGGTCTTTGTATAATTAAAGACAGGTCTTTAGACAGGCGTATGTGCTCGCTATGATCTACGTTTCTCTTATGTGTCTTTTGTATTGCGTACCATATATATAAAGTTGAATTTAATGAATTTGAATATCCACGGAAATATAGAGAATAAATCCAGCAAAAACAACAGAAATATATTTCTGCTTTATTACTAAAAAGACGCGCGTTATAAAAACGTGCCACGTTGCGTAAATTGTGCATCTTGCCTTCAATAGCAATATCCATAAAACAGAAATCTCCAATTTGATAAATAATATGGCACAACCAACCGAACAGTGGTAATTTCCACACAAATGATATATTTAAACTAAAATTATTTTAGCTTTTCACTAAATTTACATGGCATACAATCCAACAATCCTCATTCCAGAACTTGTAATTTATAATAGCCGCTTTTATGCAATTACAGAATTGTCCCGTGATCTAACATATCAAAGAAGCACATACGCCCGATATGACACGTAATCATTTTTCGAAACTTTGTAGATTGGAATTCCTTGTTGTGTTTTCTTCGTGATCCTAATATTTCCCAGCGGCTGCCAGGCAGGATACGTCCACATTTTGCAAGAGATGGATAGAGAACAAGCTAAAAACAAACAGGATTTTTTGTACAATCAGAGGCAATAATCCAGAAAGTTATGGTCTTAAATGCGCAAATATCAAAAGGGACTGAGATCTTTAGGATATAAAGATATGATTTAAGTTTCATCAGAATCGGACAAAAGTTGTGACTTCTAAGAGGGTCGACAAACTTCGTATTGCATACTTTTACACAATTTGCATACAAAGAGCGGCCATTTTGTTGGGCAGTTTCATTTCAATTTTCCCAAAATTCGAATTCAACCTTCATTATGGTGGAATGGTGAAATATTTAAATGGTTTTT